GAAACTTGCTTGACACCTTGGAGTTCGTCCTTTAGTTTGTTCTTTTCTTTCTCAAGTACCAATGGGATAACCTCGTTCATGTGGGAACGGCTTGTTAATCGGTGGCCATTTTTTTCTAACAATGGTCGAAGTTCATCTACTTTCGCCAGTGGTATTCCGCTTGAGAGAAATGATTCAACGACTTCAAAATGGAAAATTTGCATATCAGCGGGTAAAGTTGATCCAGCGTTACTCTCTTTGTTATTCCTCCTTTCAAGACATGCCACTATCGTCTGCTTTTCTGTTTTGTTCTTTGCAATATCAGCCAATCCCTTCTTGTGCTTCTTCGATTTGACAAGCTTTACGATAGAACTTTTCTTCTTAGATATTACTTCTTTGCCAGTGTTACACCGCAATTTCTGTGAAACTACAGCAAAATTATCGTTCGGGAATTTTTTTAAACGGTCCCAGGCACTTGTACCAACACTCGTTCATGCAACTGTATTATTAAACCTTTATTACCATTTTCATTTTGTAATGCATTTTTTTAATTGGATTTTTTTAGAAGGAATGACCATGGAATTGATTAATATTGATGGTATGTTGGTTAAAATAATTTAAACAATACAAATACAGATCTCTGATCCCTTGAAGAGGAAGGCATTTAGGCATTTAAATTTAGTATATTTGTTCCATTTAGCTTGAATATTGAGGATTTTGTATGAATATATCTGGATTATAATGAATGTAAAATAGGGTTGTGTAATATTAGGGTGTAGTAATGATCAGATAATATTAAAATTTGTAGAATTACACTGAAAATCAAAGGAAAGCCAGTGAAAAGGCCTTAAGAAGAGGTGACTATGTAGTGTTTTTCAAAGTAAGCTTTTTTCAATTAAAATTAAGTGGAATTGCCATATTTGTGTTTTTTTACACTATATGTGATGTTTATTAAAGTTTATATTTTTAGTTAAATAAAGTATGTGGTTACTGCCGCTGGTTATGGTTCTGCGGACGCAGGAGACAAAAAAAGAAACATTGCGAACATGTTTTTTGTTTTTTGATCTAAGTCTAACAAGTTTTCTACCCTTATAGCTTAAGTTTATCGTCGATATCAGAAATAAGTTACGTCATGATTATTTTGCGCACCCTTTTTTATACAATTTTAGTTGTAGTTTTAGCTCTTATTTACATATTCTTTGTATTATTCATAGTTTTTACCAGTCTGTTTACGTGTACCTTTTTCAATAAATCAATGTTAATAAATGGAGTGTTGTGCACAACTGAGTGGTTAAAACATGCGAACTTGATGCATCAGCAACCTCGTGATGTGTTGAAAACGCTACAGTAAAAATTCTGATCGTAAAGGATAAAGAAATGTTGTATAGAATGTAAGCCAGACCTTTACATTCATACGATCATGAGTAACCAAGGTAACAAGCACTTGTCTGAGCCCAGTCAAGTACAAAACATAGTTTGTGGAGATATGGAGAAACAAAAGAGGACAATTACTCGGTCAAATAAAGTGTTCCAAAACACTGTCAACGACAAACTCTAAATAGCTATTTGTAAATGCAACAAATTAACTGCATTAGTGAAGAAATTCGAAGAATACGAAGACTACATTACTGAGAAACAAATAGAAGATCTAACACAGATAATTGAGGAGTACGAACTCATAGTAAGTGAACTGAGATGTTTGTTTGAGCAAGATAAATATGGGATTTTTAGAGAAGAAGCTGATTGGTTACAAAAGGAACAAAACATTACTAAGCATATAGTATAATTACTAAGCATATAGTATAATTAAGAAAACAAAGACCATACAATCTGATAGATGCTCGGTAACCCCTTCACGTCGCGCAAAATCTTGAACGCACCGCAGTTCGCGATCATCTTCCTCATCAAGTATCCGCACTAGTTTGGCTGCCTTAGCTGAAGCAGCCGCAGCTTGTGAAAGTGCAGAGTATGAACAAGTTATAGAAAGAAAGAACTATATATCTATATATCTATATATCTATATATCTATATATCTATATATCTATATATCTATATATCTATATATCTATATCTATATATCTATATATCTATATATCTATATATCTATATATCTACATATCTATATATCTATATATCTATATATCTATATACCCATATATCTATATATCTATATATCTATATATATATATATATATATATATATATATATATATATATATATATATATACATATATACATATATATTTATTTATTAAAAGACTAGCTTACTAGCTAAGCTAGTCTTTTATTAAATAAATATATCTTCGCTCTGCCGGTAATGGTATTGAGCGCTCTCCAACCATTGTCAAGTTCTGTGAACTCTTTGTTACAGTCAATTCTTTGGATATATCTATATATATCTATATATATGTATATCTATATATATCTATATATATCTATATATATCTATATCTATATATCTATATATATCTATATATATCTATATATATCTATATATATCTATATATATCTATATATATCTATATATATATATCTATATATATCTATATATATCTATATATATCTATATATATCTATATATATCTATATTTATCTATATATATCTATATATATCTATATATATCTATATATATCTATATATATCTATATATATCTATATATATCTATATATATATATATATATATATCTATATATATCTATATATATCTATATATATCTATATATATCTATATATATCTATATATATCTATATGTCTATATATCTATAGATCTATAGATCTATATATCTATAGATCTATATATCTATAGATCTATAGGTCTGTAGATCTATAGATCTATATATCTATATATCTATATATCTATATATCTATATATCTATATATCTATATATCTATATATCTATATATATATATATATATATATATATATATATATATATACATATACACATATATATTTATTTATTAAAAGACTAGCTTACTAGCTAAGCTAGTCTTGTAATAAATAAATATATCTTCGCTCTGCCGGTAATGGTATTGAGCGCCCTCCAACCATTGTCAAGTTCTGTGAACTCTTTGTTACAGTCAATTCTTTGGATATATCTATATATATATAAAACAAGTAAAAGACATGGTTTTCTGTGGTTTATTGCATACAGTTCTGTTTCGTACAGGACTAGCCTGCACTCCTCAGTGCTATACCAGAGTTATTAACGTCACGGGACTTTTAAGACAAGCTTTTACGGCATCATAATTTCTAGAAATACATGCATACAGCAACCCCTCGCCATTTCAAACGAAGCAAAATATTTCCTGAGCTAGCCAGACCTAACCTTCAATCATATGAAATGTCCTAAATGTAAAGCCGATAGCTGATGTTTCAAATTTTTCGGAAACCAATACAGTCGTAAAGGTGAAGTGAAATCACCCGTTTTCCTGCTGCTTTCCGTTGCATTAAGTTATAGACTTTCACAGTTTAAGTGAGAGTTAATACTCCATTATAGCTAAACCTTCAAAACATCAAAACAGCACAAATAATATAAATAACCAGGCAGTGAACGTCGAATGTTGTGTTTCGATTATTAAATTCATGCAGTGATTGCAGTCGACTCTATAAACCTTTAAAGTGATATTTGTTATATTAAAACTCCAAAATACACTTTTAAGAACTCTTTTTGAAGTTAAAACGATGATGTAAAGCCTTAAATAGTCGGTCACGTCTTCGCAAAACCAAGCAAAACGACACACTGTACCAAGCTCATAATAAAAATGTATTCGTACAGCAAACATGAAAGAAACCTCGAAATAAACAAAATAGACTCCTACCATTTCAAGGATTATAAACCAGTTGTTCCTTTTCATCGCTAATTCTTCCAGTTCTGATAATATTTTAAACTTTTCCCAGTGTTTTATCTGTTATTTGATTCCACATTTCATATTGTGTTTTCGAAACATTTATTTAAAAAAATAGTTTGCAAAATGACAGTTAAATTGCTGACGTTGTTCACTGAAACACGAACGTTTCAAAGTCTTGGCCAATCAGCAAGTTGCTAATTACCAGTCGTCACACGTCAAATTTTGGGCATGCGCACAAGTACCATGACCATTGAACGTCCATGACATTTGGGTGACTTTGGATTTCGCTATGTTCTCCCGGGTTCCGGGTGTAATTCCAATCTCCGGGCGGAATTAGTACCCTCGCACAGTGCTCCGCACCAGCTCGGGGATTAACCCTTTTAAAGGTGAATACTTTTCAAGGTCACCTGCATGCAGGTGAATTTATTTGAAACAAAGTGATTTAAAATGCGACTTACTATTAAAATGCCTAAAATTGAGTTATAACTGTTTACAAAGGAAAGAAAAATTAGTTCAATGACTTGATTAATATATTTCCCATCCACTGGAGTTTATTTATGATAAGTATAAAAGCAATCTCCCTTGCACAAGCCAACTCCACAATCTGAACACCATGTTGTTATGCGTGTCCCCTTGTACCCTTTGTCTCGATCTTGGGCGCACAATGCACATTTCTTTCGTTTCTTGTCCGGGATAACTTGAAGAAAGTGCCTTTGCAGTTTCCTGGCTTCAGGAGAGCCAAGGCTTGGCCTACCTACTTTCTTTCTCGGTTCTTCATAGCCACCAATCAGACCCTGTACAAGTTCAACCAAAAATTCCAGATGTGTCTTGCACTTTCCTTGGATATTTGGGTTACACTTGTAGCAGATATATGAATTAGTTACAGTTCTATCTATCAAATGGAACACTACCTTCTTCCAGCATTTTACTTTCCTCTTTTCGCAAGCATATTGATCAGTCATTTGGTCAGAAAGGTCAACACCACCCATACCTTTGTTGTACTCAATGACAACATTTGGCACAATCCTTTTAGTACCCCCACGTCCTTCAACTTCTGTTGTGCTGGCTGAAGCATGGGTAGACAAGAGACGCACTTGCTTGCGGTCCACCCAACTGACTGCAAGCAATTGTCCTTTCCTTGCAGCTACCATATCACCTTTCTTCTTTAGTACTTTTTTATATCATCAGGCAGCCCTACTCGATTGCTTCGGACTGTGCCTGTAACATAGATGCCTTTTTTCAGCATCTCCTCACATAGAGCAATACTTGTATAATAATTATCTACCACCAGATGATTATTCTTATTGCCATGGCCTGTCATAAGTTTATCACAAACATCAAATGGTTGACCATATTGGCTAACTTTCAAAGATTTTGTGTGATACACAGTTTGGTGACAGTATCCAGTCTCTGCATCACAAAGATTGTATTCTTTGGGTCCCCACTGATGATGTTTTTTTATTTTTATGTAATTTACTAGATGATGCCTCCCTTTGAAACCAACAATGGTTTCATCAATAGAAATGTTTTGTCCTAATTCAAACTCTCGAGCCCAGGTAGAGTTCAAATGTTCCAGAACATTTCTAAATTTGTATGTTAAATCATAGTTAGCATCACCTTTTTTGGGTTCTGAGTCATTGTCCGATGCATGAAAAAAACGCAAAAGAAGTTTGAATGTGTCTAGTTTAAATACTTTCCTGAACATTGGAGTATCTTGTGAATAGTCTTTGCAGTTCCAGTACGACTCTATAGTATGCTTCTTTACCAGCCCCATATTTAGGATAATACCAATAAAAGCTTTCATCTTTTTTACATCAACATTCTCCCATTTATGTACTTTACTTTTTGGACTGAGAATAGGGTTTTTACGCACATAATGTTCTTTATACTTGTTAGTCTCCCGAACTAACAATTCCCAGAGAGACTGGCCCTCTTCCTCCACAGGAGCAAAAAAATGGTTGAAATATTCAACAGCACAAGTGTCCTCACTAGGAGTATAGATTGGTCCAGTGGAGCATGTAAATTCACCAAGAGATAATGCAGAATCGTTTTCCAAATCTGAAATAGTTTTCCACTTTTCTTGAGAGGGTCTCGCACTAGTATGAGGCACAGTTGTGTCAACATCAATAACATTTTGTACATTAGCATCACAATCAGATTCATCACTAATATTAAGCTCAATATCGCTCATATTCAGGTCACTACCACTATCCGAGTCAGATTCTTCATTATTTGTATCATTGTCAAGACCCAATAAGCTAAACACGTTATTAGTAGTTAAATTAGATGATCGTTTACGTCTTGAATTTCTACCTTCTTCTTCAGACGCCATCTTGAATATTTTAAACATGTGTGCTCCAATGTACCGACGATTTACGAGTATTTTTTACGTGATATACCGACCATTCAAACCGAATTACATATTTAAATTATGTTAAAATATGCTAACATAAAAAATCATCAAAATTATACTGCCTACCTCCCATTCTGATTGATTATTAAAACATATAACCGGAAGCGACATTAATGTCGCTTTCCCCAGTTAGGGAAGGGACAAAAATGTCGCTCTCCCTTCCAAAGGGTTAAAGAGCAAGTTGTCATGGTCGCATGGAATTACTTTTGTGCAGACAGGAAATCCATCAAATAAAAAATCCTTCCAGTGCTTATCTTTGATATCGTCCATGGCTTGATTGAATATAGTGCCTTCTTTTTGTCCTACTGTGGCTGCATCAATACCACTTTGAAGGGCAGGCGCAGTTGTATCCCCATCGACCAATGGGGAAAAAACAACACCAGATAACCGGTTGCTTAGAGGTGCCCATAGATGCTCAATCGGGTTGAAAGCAGAATATTTTAGCTGCATATGTCATGACTGTGAGTATGTCAGCATCAAGTTTTTTAAAGAGGCGGTAGTAAAATAACTGATTTGCGATATGGGAAGGGTTAAAATCTGGACCACCGTCACCAAGGCACATAAATGTTGATTTTTTTCCTCGGACCGGTTCTAGCATTTCATACAAATCTGTAACGTGTGTTGCTACAGATGTAGCATTATACTTGTGCGAATGTATATAAACGTCAGCAGTTCCAGAATATGGTGTTCTAAGATGAGCACGCCCGACCCCATCATATATTATATCCTCAGGTGTAAGTGGAATATCTTTATATTTTTCCAACGTTTCTCGTTTGAAAGTTACAGAGCACACTTTAATTTGCCCGTCTTCTGGAAAAATACCGAAATATATTTCGGTGACTCAAAATTGCTACAACATCGTCCTTCAAAAACTTTTGAACTGTTATTTAGCTTATTCAGTTGCACTACTTGACAGTGAAAAATGCTGCTCAATCCACTTGATATTAAGTCCAGATGTTCTTTGCAAGTATGCAGCTGGTCATCGATGTTCTTGCACATTTCAGTTATAAAGTTGGCTTCCATTTTGAACTTTTGGCAGTAGAACCCAATGTTGTGATCGATTTCTTCTAGAATGCTGTAACAAATTTCTTTTTCAGTAGCTGTAATGTTCAACTGTTCTCTACCCTGGGAAACCATATCACTCCAAAAGTTGCTTGCTTTCCCAGTTCTAATATTAACACCAAACGCATCTTCAATCCTGTCTATAGCAACACTCGTTTGAATTGTCTCAGATGTTTTATCGTAAGCGTTGTCTTGAAAATGGTTATCTACATTGACATTCTCCTCTAAAATCGGCTCCGCCACATTCTTTTCTTCGAGGAACATGTATCCTAAAGAAGATTAAGCCCTATTAGTAATCTCCAGTGCTCTCATTTCACAAGGAAGAGCTCTACATTTACCCACAATATTCTTTTTTGGCATGCAGCTTCATGTAATTTAGTTTAATGAATAACTTTATGCGTTTTTTCCCCTGCATTTCAATCACGGCTCCAAGATGCTTATTAGGCGGTTACGCTAGACAATTAAACTACTACTCATCTGAAGCAGATAACAAGTAATTTGGCACAGGGAAATCATGATCTGCGTAATTTGGCATATCCATTGTAGCGCATAGCCGCCGCAATTGGTGATACAGAGAAACAGCGGGGGCACCAACTTATATTTTTGCCATTTCATCCATGCTTACTATACATGCTTCTGATTTAAATAACGTGCAGAACTCTCTGCGGTGCTTGTTTCTACTGAAAAGGTAATGGTTATCTGGATGAAACTCTTGGTAACGGTTTGATTTAGTGGCGACTCTTGCATCAACCAGACAATGATAACGTTTACTGGCACGATTTCCCTTATTTGGTGCTTGAAATAGTCTTCGTATCTCGTTAGAGATATGCCATGCTCTCTTAATCCTGGAGTCTCTTTGAGTAGATGCTGTCGAATTTCCGCCACTGTTACACCAGAGGAGTACCCAGTTTCGGTTCTTCTCCGGCATTGAGCGGAAAATCTGTGTTGTTTCACAAACTCAAAAGCTGCATCGACCAAATCAGGGAACCTGGAGACTAATGATGGTTGTTCACAGGATTTAGACGAGACACGAGACTTTTCAGTCTTTACAATCATGACTGGCATGTGCCTTAAAATTTGGTGCAGACAGTCATTGTTCATGACGATTTCAATTTCAGATACAGTTGTCACAATATTTTCAGATATTATTTGCCCAATCTCGGTCAACTGCATTGTTGTTAGTGGTTCATGAAGTGCAAGGTTGGAATTTTCATGGTCCAAGAAGACATCGAACGTGTCTTCCCACGATAACTTAGAGTTGTTGTAGCAAATGCACTTATGAAGTTCGCCAGACTTACGCGATGTAGAGTTGTTTGCCTGTTGCTTTAGTCTTCTACAAAGGTTAGACAAAAGATCTTTCTTAGTAATTTTCGTTTGTATGATCCCTATCATACAAATCAATTCTTTGATTTTTTCAGCTTTTTTAAGGTACGTTTCACTGATCAGGGCAGCCCTCATGGTAGGATTTGTGAGCAGTTTACATACTTCGCCAAAGATCATAGCAAGTTCACTGCATTTAATATTGATTTCGCGCAAGTTAGACTTTATATTTGAGTTGATTGATTTAGATAACTTTTAGGGAGTGAGGAGAAAGTTTTCCAATCAAAGGAGATGGAAGCTAACGTTTTCACTAGCGAATCCTCACTGACTATATCGTCAGTAAAGAAATCGTCAAGTCTTTTGAATGCGATATCAGAAAGAAATGCTTTTATCATCTGAAATTCTTGGGACAATAGATAACTTTTACAAGATGATGTGGGTACATTTAAAGTTTCTGCTATGTTCATTCTAGGAAGCCGTGTTGTATTTTGTTTTCTCAAAACAATAGCCGGTTTTGAAAGCAAAGGGTTGATAGGTCTTGACATGGAAGTAACTGTTGGGGGCTGAAAAAAACGTTCATTTTCAAGGTATTTTACAAGTCTCTCCTTGTCGTTTTTTATTTTTTCCCACTCAACAAGGACAAATTGAAGAAAGTTCTGCTTTCTGCCAAACCTTTCACTTGACTCGCTCCATTTCTTATTAACAAACCGTTCATAATCACTTTTTGATTCGTAAAGTAGGAAGCAGGGACTGCCCTTTTTCCAAAAAGAGTCAGTTGCTTTGACATGTCTATATACAATGAAATAAAAAGTGCATGGAATAAATTTTTTAGCGAGAATTTCAACTGACATGCAAAAACTTTATAAACTATATTAAAGACAGTACAAAAATATAAATCTTACCTTCTGAATTCTTCTTTTTGAATAAAACTTATTACAAATTTATAATGCTGCCTTCTTCCACACAAAACACTTTAAATAATAAAACTAAACTTTTAACATCTGAAATATTATTGAAAACTTGTTAAAAAATTCTTAAATATATATATATATATATATATATATATATATATATATATATATATATATATATATATATATATAATATATAAAAAAATATATATATATTTTAAAGCTATACAAAACTTCTCTTTTTATGCACAACTTGCAAAAATTCCAAAAAGGCAAAACAACATTTTGCAAAAAAAACCGTCATCGCGGGCTCAGGTGAAATTTTCGAGTATGTGCCTAATTTGGTTTTGACTTTTGATGTGTTTACAAAACAAATAATAGGTGAAATATCGCCTGTGAAACAAAATTTATACCTTATCCATCGGGTTAATAAAATATGTAGGAAACATATTGCTGTAAAATGTAATCCCCGAGCCGGCGCAGAGTGCCGTGCGAGGGTACTAATTCCGCCCAGAGATTAGGAATCACACCCGGGACCCGGGAGAACATAGCGGAATCCAAAGTTGCCAAAATGTCATGGACGTTCAATGGTCATGGTACTTGTGCGCATGCGCGAAATTTGAACAAAGAAAGAACGGTCGTCTACGACTTGCTGATTGGCTAAGGTAAAAAGAGAGCATGCATGATAGCGTCAGCATTTTAACCGTCATTTTTCAAACTATTTTTTAAAAATATGAAATGAAATCATGAAGTCAAATATTTAAACAATAATAAAAGATTAAAAGATTATCACAGCACAGAAACAGTTGGTGAAATTAGATTGACTCGTAGTTTATAATCTTTGAAGTGGTAGGTGTCTATATTTTGCTTATTCAGTGTTTGCTGTAAGAATGCATTGTTATTCTGACAAGTACGAGCTTGGTATGTCGTTTTACAAGGAGCTAACCGACCGTTTAAGGCTTTACATCATCGCTTAAAAGTTAAACAAATACCACTTCGCAGCTTAATTATATAGTCGCTAAAATAATTGAATGAAATAAATAATCGAAAACCTGTCCATATGCCTGTGACAATTGGGCAACCATGACAACCATTGCTTGCCAATTGGGCATGTCATTTTACTGCCTCTTTTTGGATGGATTTAAATGTTAGTTTGAAGTATAAGAAGATTATATTTTCCAGGTCCTATATACTTCCAGGCCCTATATTTTCCAGGCCTTATATATCCCTGTTTGATGACAAGTTAGTTTTGTTGAGGGCAACCAGTTTATACATGCCCGGCTTGCCCATTCATGGCTATGACTTATGGTATATAATTACAAATCTAAGTGCACAGGCATTTTACTTGCCTATAGCCAGCTTGCATGTTTTCATCGGCAAAAACGTTTCTTAATATGTAGGTTATGGTATCTTTACAAAGAGGGCCTTCAAGAAAGGAGAATTCCTCCTTGAGTACAAGGGGGAATTAGTCATCAAAAATGAAGGACAAAAAATGGAAAAGGAATATGACAAAAAAACTTGGAAGTTTTTAGTTTTTTTTGAGATTCTTTTTGGTGAGTAAATGAAAAAAAGGAAGAATGGCACTGTGTATAATCACAGTTATAACGGAATATATATGGTTTCGAA